GGAATAAGCCCACACATATACATACCAAATTAGGCTTCACCAGGCAACTCTAACTGTGCTGGCTTTTAGTGTTCAAGTATTCAGCTTCAGGGACATCCTCTGAAAGGAGCCTTAATGGTATAAAGATTTCATTATTATTTTCATGGCATTATGTAGAGAGACTTCCAAAAAATTGCCCGTGTTATTGTCAAGTGCATTCTTAGCCTTGAGCTAAGTCGATAATGAAAATACTGCTCTCCCTACAGATGGGAAGTGGAGGGACAGAAAAATTTTAAAAACTACACAGAGACACACACAGGAGAGACATCTTTGAGACTACACATTTCCAAGTACTGTACTGTTGGCTTTAAATATACAGCTATCCTTCCCCTCAGGCTCTTGCACACTTTTATGGGTAAGCATACTCCTGACAGAAATTATTCTCTACTTTAAACCTCATGCTAAGTACAGTGAAGCTCTAGCATGAGTAAGACATTTGCCATTGCTATGTTCTCAGCGTTCCATAAGTGGAGACYCCTTCTCCTCCTGAAAACAAAGCCAAAGTCTTCTAGTGTGATTSAAGAAGCTGTGTAATGGCACAGAAAATTTTGTATTACTTGCTGCACAATGAGCAACTGTTCTGTGGCAATGATAACTATTCCAATGAAACAGAAAAGGCCTCTTCTTAGTGCAGATTAGCCCAACCAAGACAGTCAATACAGACAGRACAGAAATCATTATGTTTATAATGATACTGTGTTTATAATAATATTTATAATGGTCAAGAAATATTTATACAGCAGAGGAATTTCTTATTGGACAGCACCRTTACAAGTTTGCCACAGTGCAACCATAAATCTATCCTGTAGGGGAGATAACTACAGAGATTTGACTCTAAATTACCTAACTAAGCAAACTACTCTACTTTCTGACTGACCTTGCTGGCAGGACATTCTTTGCTGTCCAGCAGCCGAGCTAAACATTATGTACATCTGAGATGACATTTAATTCAAGGAACCTTGCCAGACATTCCCACAGATACAAATACTGTAACCTTTTACTTATTATTTCAAGAATACAAAGGTATTTTATTATACAAATAGACAAACTGGAGGGAATTCAAAGTGGAGGAACCTTTTCTTTTTCAAAGATTTATCTTTTTCAGAGATGGAAGAGAGAGAAGCATGCATGGTTTGCCTGAGTAAGGTTTGTCCTCTCATTCCTCCTCTGCACCATCTGTGCATCCACAGACTGTACAGGCTGTGAGAATGCAGGAGAATGAGCAGRAAGTTGCCTCATTGTTATCCTTCAGTATCCACCACTAAGAATCTCTTGGCTTTGACATAGTTGCTACTTTTACRGGGTCACTTTCACACCCACTCAAAGTTTACGCTACTACTGAGAAAGTGCATTGGAAACTGGTGTACTGTAAAAACAACCTTTGCAYTGGTTATATTGTGGGGGGGCTATTGCTGAGCTCTGTAAAAACCCAATTTGTCACAAAAGAAATGTAAAGCTCTCCATCTACAATCCACCCTCCCACCTGCACTGTGTCAGCTCTCAGGAGGACAAAATAATAGTTTCCAAACTGTTGTAAGAGAAGAATTCAAAGCTGGAAAGAAATTTCTAAGAAAGAGAGRCAGCCATTAGAAGTTGCAAAAGTAGCAGGAGAATATTTTAATGAGGAATTATTAGGTTAGGTAAAGCTTCCCAGAAATAAGATACAAGGAAAATCTTTGGTAGAAGGACCTCAGTCTGTGAAATTTAAAGACAAACCATTGAAAGTCCTCAACAGAGAAGCTTCTCAAACTTCTCTAACGCTCCTGGCATAGTGAAGTACAACCTTTGTCTCACGTTCTTTAATCTGCGAGTTGCTTCTTTCAGCAATGGAATTTTTCCTCTTCACTACTCCTGGTACTATCAGTGARTTTCTTCCAGCAGAGGAGTAGCTGACTGGAATATATTGATCCACTCGCTTCTTGGCTGGGCAACCTGGCTACTGGGAAACACTGCTTTTCAGTGCCTTTCCTTAGAAATATGGGCACTACYTCTAATTTCTTCAATATTTCTCAAACATGGAGGTGATCAGGTCCAGGGGCCAACATCCACGAACACAGCTACAGTGCTGTGCCTTTGTGCTTAGAATATGGAATCTTTTGTCCCAGAGCTCTCACTGACCTGTAACTGCTTGAGCTGGAAGGCCAAGCTGGTAGCTGGAGCAGAGAGAAGGGCTTTTATTTTCTTTGAAGGCAGAGTGTCTCTTCTATTGTCTAAATAGCACTGTCACATGCCATGTAAAGATTTCTGTATGAAGGGTACAGAATAGCAAAGTATAACAGGTTATGACTATTTTATGTGACTGCCTCAGAAAAGGAAAATAATTTATCAGTGTGTGTGAGATTGTGTATGAATATTTTAATCAAAAGCAGTTTWATTTTTCTAATATAGCTTACTGGTGAGTCATGTACTATTTTTTAGGGCCCGTCAAAGATGAGTGGGAAAGGTATAACTACTGCAAAATCCCCTTAAATTCACTGCACTGTAGTTTGATTTCTCATTAGAAAATCTTTCTAATAGGAATGTCCATTCTGAAAAAAAAAAATATTAAAAAACCCAAAACCAGAAATCACCTAACCTACTTATTAAATGGGCTCTGTTTAAGAAAAGCAGCATGGAAAAAGTAATAGCTGAATAGAAAAAAACAGTGACCTAGAACTTAGCATGCCTCTGAAGGGAGAAGATAGTATCTTAGCTGACTTCACCTCCATAAAAACCCTGGGGTTTTTTGCTAGGTCTAGAAACACCACAAGATATAAAGAGTTAGGTGACCTGCACCTAGAAGCAGAGAGATAAAGGAGGAGAGAAAGCTTTAAATGAGACTTGAAGATTTCTCCCCTTTGATCACAAAGAGGGCAGTAAGTTGTGAATTAGGGACCAGGACTAACTGGTGAGGCCTGGAAGCAGAMTTCCTCAGGCAATAGCTCCACCTGCAAGGCAAACCAATTTTGATCAGACTTTGCCAAAATGCTGTGCAAAATAAACTAATAAAGGGTGGCTAGCTGCAAGGAGGTACTGGGACTGGGAACTCAGAGTGYTTTCTCCTCTTCATACCCACATACCTATCCAGGGTGGGAGGTGATCTTGTCAGAAATTGTGTAACTGCCCGTAGGTTTCAAGGCAAGAACTGCAGTTGAACTGGTGCTAAGGTGTTCTGTAGCACTTTAACAGTCTTAGGGTCCATTCTGAAGCTTTAAGAAATTGGCACCGCCATTGCTACCATCAGAAGCAGATGTGCCTTGTCTGGCTGCCTGCTGAGGTAYTCACAGCAGGAGAGGAAACATCTCTTGGCTCAGTGGGAGAGCAGAGGTGCAAGATTCGGTACTGGTTTACATGGGTGATTAYAGGAGATAACAAGACTGGGGATACTCAGCGGGGCCACAAGAAGTCAAAAGTGTGTGTGAATCAGAAATCATAGCAACCTACAGGCAGGAAAACTAGACTGTGGGAACACAGCTCCCCTGGGAATATCAATTACTTCAATTCCCTTCTTAGTTTGACTCACAGACAAAGACAGCCCAAAACACCTCTGCTGAGCTCTTGATGGGACTCTGCCTGCATTATGGTATTGAAATTTGGCATTAGAGTGTAAAGCAGTTAGAACGTATTTCTACTCCCACTCCAGACAAATGTAGTCCTGTGATTTGGTGCTGTGGAAACCATAATGCCTTGTATTGGATTTTCTGCCTAATATTGCATGCTCACTTTCTTAATACACAGTCTAGAAGACAGAAATAATTGGTATCAGTAATATTGGAATGTTATATACAACTAAGATAGAAAACAAAACAAAAGGAGCAACAGAAAGTGTCCTTTTGCTGTAATTTTCATTGTCAGTTGCTACTATTCCTTCTATGTTGCACATGAAAGCTATTTTATCCCTTCATGGCTTTTCTGGAAACATAATAATGTCCTCAGCTTCACAGCTGAGTAAAATTTGGGTTSCTCCTCGGTACACGGTATCAGAACTGGTGTTAAACAGGGCAGTGCATTAACCAGAGAAAAGGGATCAAAAGGAGACAGTACCAGTTCAAGTTAAAATTTATAGTTTCAAGCAGGACAATATGGAGAGAGAAAGYTGAAAAAGTGAGCTCTAACATGTATTGTCTCCTCTGAGAGAAGGGATGTCTGCCCTGTTCCAGACATCTGCAGCAGTGCCAGCACTCTTTCGGTATACACAAGGAGCCAAGTCCCCTGTTATCAACAAGCCAGTAATTTTAGGCTTCTGCAATATCAGAGATTATTGCTCTCTATAGAGTGGGGTGAAAATGAAGGCAGGGTTTGGCCTAATATATTTGCCTTGGCTGACAGCAGAAACCAGCCCTTCATCGTTTCATTCATGCTACACAGAAAAATCCTTCAGTGCAGCCTGTTCCAAAGGCATGACACTCCGCAGAAATGAGACTGGGCATGCCTGCCAGGAGCCTTGAGGAGGATGCTCTCTCCCRTTTACCAAGGTACTGCATCATCTCCCGGGCTGGACCGAGTTGCTGCCAGTATTTCCAGAGACTCCGAGATGCGTCAAAGCCCCCTGGCAGAGGCAGTGGAGCGCGCAGGCTGCCGCCGGGAGATTTAGCGTGTCCCCGTGGAGCCGGGGACAGGCGGGCGCACAMACACACAGGGACACGCGCGGTGCGTGCGCGCAGCCCGCCCAGGGAAGGCCAGCCCCCAGCAGCGGGGCCATCCTTCTGCTGCTGGATTTTTCCAGCCGGAGCATCCTGCCGGCTCCGCCGTGATTTATGGAAATCGGTTTCTGACGCGGGGCTTTTTGCTATTACGACAGGGACCCACGGACTGGAGGAGGCAAAGCTGCAGTCAGGGCAGGAGAAGTGAGGGAGAGGAAGAGGCGGGAGCAGAGGGACACGGAGGAGTGGAGAGGACAGAGGGAGAAACAGGCACGGAGACACTTCAGAGATGGGTGAGTTATAACTAGGGGAGCGGGAGGAAAGGCAGAGAAAGGAAGAGAAAGGAGATCAGAGACTGAGTCAGCTTCCAGAGGGCAAACACCAGGAGACGAGTTCAGGGAACACCCCAGCGTACCAAGAAGGACCTGTTCTGTCTGAATCTTCACCATGAGCACAAGGAAGASCTGCCCCCTGCCACTGGGGCAAGGAGACCAGGAGGAAAAGCARAGCGAGGGTACTCCTGACCTGGAGCGACAGGAGTGTGAGATGGAGCTGAGGAACAAAGCTATTCTGCAACAGAAGAGGCGCCTCAAACAGGCCACCCAGTTTGTGCACAAGGACTCTGCTGATCTGCTGCCCCTGGATGGCTTGACAAGGCTTGGCACCTCCAAGGATCTGGTGAGTCCAGTGGGACCCCATTTGGGAGGGAGTCCTCCTAATAGCCTTCATACCAGTTGGGAGCTCCTTGTCAGGTTTTGTGAAAAGATCACAGGTTCAGCAAAAGTTAAACTTCCCTTCAGGACCCTCTRGGATCAGGTCAGGTTGAGGGGAAAGAATTAATCGCTCATTTGCTTGCATCCATCTTCTCATGCATCCCCATAGGAACCGAACTCCTCACAGAGGCAGGCAGACAGAATCCAGAATCCAAATTTCCATTCACCCAGTACCTATATATGTTCATGTRACACATATGTTTCCATGTGGGATATCTCTGAAAGTCCCCAGGTGTTCATTCCTGCATGATCCAGCTCAAAGGCAGACTGCTGCCCAGACTCAGCAGGGAGGAAAGCACAATTCATGRAACTCTGAGGGACTTTAGTTTGACCTTGTCACCTTTTTGCAATTTTCTTGCTCCCCCGGCTCTCTCGATTTTTGCGGGGGTAAGCAAAGGGCAGGACTGCTAAACAGCACTCAGGCAGAGGCAGTGCCTGGAACTCGTGGGTGAATCCTTTGGGGAGGAAGCACCGGAGTGAGGCCTGTGGGCATCTCCTTGTGATGACGTGGAGCAGGAAGCATCAGGGAGGGAGGTCTGTTGCAGGAGTCTTGGCAGTCTGTGGTCTGGAAGGGTTTCCCCAAGGCTGGAAGCAGATTCCCAYAGGATCTATTGCTGGCTCAACTGTACACATACTCCCCTTCGGCAGTTTTGCCGTCCAACTTCTCTCCACTGTAGAGTTAAACTACTCAAAGATGTGGAGGTCTAAACCATGTGCCCAAAAGAGGGCTTAAGTCTGGTTGTGATGGGGACGCAACCACTTGTTCCAGCTGTGGCAGTGGGTGYCATAAAAGATCTTGCCCCTCCCTGCAGTCCGTGCTTTCCTCTGTATCCTCAGACAATCGCAGCCACGCCACAGACGCTGTCGTGTGTTCGCCTCCAGTGCTTTCCCGGCTCCCGTGGCACTCAGCGAGGCACTCAGCGGCACAGGGCCGYACACGTGTGGGCCCGGCAGGTCCCTGGCCCTGAACGGGAGCTAATCCTCCTTGCCGAAACCTTGGGATGCAGTCTGTGCCCTGGACAGACACGGGGTCAGTGCCACCTTCCCGTGCTGGCACATCCTGCTGCTCCCGCCACCCTCCCCGCCGCTCCCTCAGCAGCTGCTGGAGCCGCTGGCTCGGCAGGGTCAAGGCCGGCTCCTCAAAGTCACCGTGAGCTGTCGCCTCACGTTGGGCCGGCACACATGGCTGTCAGCAGGGACTGGCCGSGAGTGTCCCTCCGGCGCTGCGCAGTCACGGCTGGAGCTCCCAGGGCCGTCACAGCAGCGCTGTCTTAGCGAGGGACAGGGACTCTGGTCGCCGCGGGGAAGGAGGTCTGGCCGCGCTGGGGCCGGACAGCCCCGCTCAGCCGGGAGCACAGGCGGGCCGGCAATGGCCCTCGGCAGCGCTGCAGCTCGGATATCCCCTCAGGAGCACGGCCGGGCACGGCCTGGGGCCCAGCCCTAGGCACGGTGTGGAGAGGAGCCACTCCCGAGCCTTCCGGCGTGTGTTTGCTGACCACAGCCACAAAGGCAGGGAAAACACGTCCACCTTTGCTTTGGGACGGACTCCTGTCACACCGTGCCTCAAAACGACAGCTGGCACCCTGAAGCCCCAAGGCATTACTTGAGCAAGACAGTCCTTGTCCAAATCACTTGCCACAAGCAAATGTCCTAAAATTAACCTTTTTAGGCAGGAGAATTCCTTGTGTGCAGACCATGTTTGGTCACTGCAACCCACTGCAAACTTCATGTTTGCTCCATAATAGAAAAGCTGAACCATTTTCACCATCTAGGGAGCAGTGGGTAAAGTATGACACGTTTTTTTCTGACATGGACATTTTGCTCTGGTGTTAGAAGGCACAAAAAAAAAMCTGTGACCCCTGGGTGAAATCTGCACACACAGGGCCATACCTGGGGTCAGTGTGGTACCTCCATTTCGGCTCTAACTTGGAGCAAAAGAAGAACCAGACCTTAGATTTCTAGGAGGGATTCAGCAGTTCCTGCAATCGATGGGAGGGACACTGATATTGCTGTGATGTTTTGGGGGCTGCAAATCAGAGTCCAACATATGCTTTTGGCTCTCTAGGCACTTCTCCAGCCCTCTGAAAACTCCATCTCTGTTTCCTAAATTGATCTGGCTCCCTCCTGGAGGACAGGAATACATAAAAAGGAAYGTACTGAAAACAAAGCAGCAGTAGGAAGTGCTGGAGAGTTTGATCTTGGAAATAGAGTAGAGCACTCCCAACTCCTATAGGACTTGCACTGKGAGGAAAGTTTAATTAATTCCCCCAAAGAGCTCTTCATTGACAGTGTCAGAAACTCCAGTTGCAGCAGCTCCACATCCTAAAATTATAGCAAGGCCCCATGTAATTTAAAACAAAATACCTGCTTTCATTTACAGTCCAGGGCTGTTAAGTTTTGCCACTCTTTTCTGTGTATTCTGGGTGTGCATTCAGCTTCTGCAATGCATCCAGCAGTGCCTGGGATTTGATGGGCCCCTCACATCTTCAATAATGAGTAGTTATACATTTCTGTGGAGATTCATGTTTCCAGCTTCGCAACAAAAAGCATTATTAGTTTTGGAGGTTTTTAAATAGCAAAATAAAAAATAAGTAGCTACATGAGTTAAAATATTCTGGAAGTACCAAGAAGGTCTRAAGATCTGGCTTCTCACCTCCTAAAAATCAAGAACCCCAGCTCCTACAATGTCACTAATCATAGCAAAGCCTGGAGATTTTACACTGGAGAGCCTCATCCTTCCTGAAATTGCACTGAGAATCTGCTTTGATCCCTCTAAGTGCCCTGAGAGGGCATCCTTTCCAGCTCCTGGCCACAACACCCACAACATCCTTCCTCACCATCCCTAAATCTAATTGTTTCTGATCAGTCCAAGAAAGGTAACGATCTCCACTTCTCTGTCTCAATGGTGAGAGAGAAGATAGGCAGGGCCCTAGGAGTCTGCTCTYGAATCAGATGCCTCCAAAATCCCAAAGCTCAGCTAATCCCCACCAGCACTTGGCCTCTTCCCAGCCTGAGTGACATGAAGGGGACAGAGGTGGCAGCTGCAAAGGGCCTGCTCATTCTGCGGGAAAGGTTTCAGGGGAGGGAAAGGTCCTTTGCATGCCAGATTGTGAGAGGCAGCAGGGAGGATGGGAATTGGGAGACCTGCTGTTTGTTCCCTGCCCTTTTCCCATGGCCCAGATGTTAGCTGGCAGCCAAACTGGCACTGAGCTCAGAGTATTTAGGGAGCTAAGTACAACGGCCAGCTGTGCTGTGGGCCGGCACAGGAGGCTGGGAAAAGACCAGGAACAGAGGGATATTTTTACCCCACTTTTTCAACTGCTGCAGTGTTTCTCATGCAGCACGTGAGTGATCTCTCACCCCTTGAGTGACAGGGAAACAGAGGCACGAGGGACTGAGCATTTTGCAGAGACCAATGCTGAGTGTGACCAAACAGCCAGTGACAGCCACCCTGCTCCAAACACTGAGTGAATCTGGCAAATCAGGGTGCTTCAAATTGCAGTTTGCACACTCCCCTGGCCTCCGCTCTCTGGCTATGCATGAAGCTAGTCCAAAACACAAGTACCYCTGGGATTAATACAGCCCAGCTCAATGGCAGGTCTGGTGTTTGGCCYGCTTACATCAAACTGCTGCACTATCTGGGAGATGACTTTTAATTTACTGGGTTTTTTTTTTAGAAAAATGACAGTTTAAGCTGTAGTACATTAACCCCTTTAGATTTTTTGCCTTTGTCCAGATAGGCAGTTTTTACTGAGAATGCCATGGCCAGCTCAGAGCAGATGCTCTCCTGGAGAAGGGCCATGGGACTGAGTASTTGGAGAAAGGACAAAGCTACCTCCAACAGGCACCATTTTATTGTGTTGCCCACTGTCGATTCAGTAGCTGTGCCAGGACTGGATGGAGTAATACTGGACAAAAACTAGAGCATYTGATAGTGGGGAGCAGAGAGGGACTCCAAGGAACATTCAAAGCTCGTTTTAGTTTCCTCTTCAGGGCCTGGTTCCTGCTTYACTGCAAATAATTGCTTGTACTTGTAAAATATCTGCAGTTCTGCCTTCTTGCCCACACCTACATCACCCACATGCTGCATTCYCCTCCTACATTAGAAGGTGTGAATGTGCCTGGTGGGATGTCAGCACACACCCAGCAGGCAGTGTACTGCAGTAACCGAACAGGGATGGGACCCTCCAGTGCATGTTTAGCTGAAGGAACAGATATGTGTGGGGAGAGCATGCATCAGGCACATTCTTCTCCTCCAATAATTGCAGACCAGAGACCTGCCTGTCACAGATATCCCAACATTTTAACATCAAATTAGTGGCTACAGAAAAAAAATCTTGGAATTTAAAGAAAGTTTTTTTGGATAAGTCTGTCTTCCATCAGGGTGATCAGTTGGGTCAAGAATTTGCAGCCTGCTTCCCTGARCTAGCAAACGTCTTTGTCCTTAGCTCCATACTTAGCTGGGATTTCTCTTTCTTTATGATGGAGACAGCAGCCTCATAGTGTGGTCCAGCGGCGCCTCTTGGAAGGCAACCTGAACAAGCTGCGGGGCGAGGCCAGGGGTCAGCCTGCACGGGTTCAATCTCCGCTGGCAAAAGACCAGGATGCAAAGATGGAAAAGGGAGAGGACAGGAAGAAAGAAACTTCACCCCTGCTAATACAGTGCCAGGTAAGGCAACAACACGGTGCTGCTGATTTCACAGTGATGGCAAATGCTCAGAGTTCCAGCTGCCCCCCTCCCAAGGGCCATGCTGAGTTATAAACTGCAAAGCCAGATGCAGCCAAAGAGAAGAGATTTCATGCATGGCCTCTCCTAGGGTCTGGATTCAGATTTTCCCCAGAGAAAAGCCTTTCTGCTACATGCCTTCCAGGTGCCCATATTTGAAGACAAATAACCTTAATCACATCTCCAGCTTTCCATGATATGAGGTATTTCATAACTTCACACAGAAGCAAGGAATGACTCCTTATCACTTGAAGATGGGTGCCTCTCATTGATTTACACTTAACTAGCTCCAATCTAGTGTGATTCTCTCAGGTGTCAAAGGACCTCCTCAGAAAGTGGCTAACTGCTCCAAATTAGCACAGCTGCATCTCTTGATGGAAGCAGTATTTTTAGCTCCCTTTTCTTTGTATATTCTTCTATACAGCAGAACACACAACTCCCTTGTCCYTGTAGGTAGAGAAAGCACACCCAAAAGTTGTGGCTCATGAAAGAGGGCTGGATGATTAAAGGTGCACAGTAATAGGCAGGTGTAAGACTCACCAAGATACAGACCTGTTGTATAAAACCCATTTTAAAGCTGGTTTTAGTTCAGTTACCTATCATAAAGAACGTCTCTCGTATCAGAGTGTRAAGGCTACACTTACATACCTTTGAAAATTCAGTTGGCACAATAAATCATCATATAAACACAGCCTGATGGCAAGCTTCTTAAAGGCTTAGATCAGGTATCTCAGTACCAAGCAAAACCACTCTCTGGTTTATTTTGCATCCTTTACTGTTGCAGTTAGGCATTGCTTAACCTTGGGTTTTAGACTTTAATGTAGCTGGGTTAACATAGCCACACTTGGGGACAGACTAGTAGGATGAATGGCTCTCAGTGTAACTTCTCTGATTACTTGGAGCCCATTTTTGAGCAAATAAAGGTTTATTTTTCTTTATAACCTCTCCTTATTGTTCTGCAAGAGAAAATTGAGTGATGAAGGGTGGGGTTCTTTGCCAGACATGCACATTGAACAWGGACAGGCAYGTACAGGTAGTGTATCCCAGGGGCAGTATCTAAGTCAGCATTACAGTCCACTAGTCATTCCCTTTGTGTTTCTAATGGACTGAASCCCAGCTGTCACACACATTTTATTTTCCCTCACAGAGGAAGGCTAACRAGCATCACAAGCAAGGAAATAGCTCTAACGCTCCATGTAACGCTCTCTGAATTCTGCACAGGCATTTCTCTCTTTTTCTGCCCTTCTTAGGAGCCAGTCACTGTCACACTTGATCTTCTTACACTGAAGGAAAGGAAGATCTCCTCCCCTTCTTTTTGTCTTGCTGCTTTTGATGTTCACATTTGTGAACTTCAAAAAGCCTCTCCTGTCAGTAGCAGATCTGCAGCAGGAAATAGGACTCAGGCTGCCAGTTYGTTTGAACCAGAGAGGTGAGCCGGTACCTTTTGGAGATCTGCTTGATTATGGTGCAGTTTTAATTGGAAATGGAGCACAGCCCCAGAGAAGTCCTTTTTTCCCTGACTCCTGAGAAAAGATAATATACCCTTTACACGCAGGCGTGTATACTGAGAATTTCAAAGCAGTAACAAATGCATCACCTGGCTTGTAACTGAATTTGAATATGTGTAGATTTCAGYGACACAGGGAGATTAAGGCAGTAAATATTTTCACTGTAACAGGTTTTAGTTTCCCTGTACCTAATGCCTTTTTAAGTCTCAGAGATCACAAACAGACCTAGCTGTACTGTAGTTACTCACCCTCCTAGTTGCTTAGGTGGGCTGCTCAGATGATACTTTAGCAGAATTGCCACTTTTTGTGACATTTTTTGAAAAGCACTTTAGAAAGCTAGTCATGGCTGGTGTCTGCAATATGAAATCAAGCTGTTATTTATTGTGGTGGGGCTTGTCTCTTGTTGACTTGGAAATAGATGCTGAAAGATTTCACTACTGTCAGTGGCACTGAAGGCCATTTTTCCTCTAGGCCAAAGCAACCTGGGATTGATCAGCCTTTTGTTTGCTAAAGCAACTTCTTGACTTCAGAGCTAACATAACTTCAGAAAAGACAGCTCTTTATAAACGGTGATCCTTACTGATTCCCCTTCCCCTTTTTCTTGGAAATCCCYATAGCTGATATTGAAATAAAAGATAATGGTGACTGGTAGTAGCAGACTGAAAATTCTAGAGCAGAGRTGAGAGTGGGTAAAATGATGAAAATTCCTTCTAGTCCAAGAAACAGTGCTGATTGTAGTTGTGGTATGCTGGAGCAAGGAYTTTCCTCAGGCTCCTGGTGAGTTCTCTAGGGAAGTGGTTAGTAGTGTAGAGCTGTTTACACTGAATGAGATTAAATGTTGTTTTCTGCAGAATAATCACTGTCCTGATATATCCTATCAAGTCTCTTACTTGCAGATTTCCCAGCCTGCTCTGAAACAAAACTCAGTAATCTGCCTAGTGATACAGCTTAGGCTTATTATAACAACAGCAGCTCATGCATCTCAAGTCTGCCTGCTCCCAAGTGATTCCTTTGCAATTGCTCTCCATGCTCCAGGTCTTGTTTCTGAGTAGAGAGGATGTGGAGGCAGACGTTTAGCATGCACCTGCACTCTTTGCTTTATCTTGCCTCTCTGCTTAGTCTGGCCACAACACTTTCAGGCAGGAGGACCAGGAAGCACAGACATTGCACAGCTCTAAAATCAGAAGAAAGGAATTTTGCCATAGAATCACAGAATYSTTTGGGCTGAAAGGGACCCTGCTGGTATCATGTCTGTTAGCAGCATTCCAATATTTCTCACAGGAGGTGTTTTCTTCTTTTTATAACTACTCACAGATAGCACATTTTTGAAAATGAAATCTTGGAAATACTGTATGTAGCTCTCTGTGATGATTAATAATCACAGACATAGTTAAGAAATCAGGAAATTGAAACATTTTCCTTGACCCTGCTGGTCCTGCACTSAGTCCCTCATAGCCATGCTGATCTGCTTAAGGTGTTCAAGCATTTAAACTTGTTGGGAATGAGCATAAGTGTAGAGAAGCAGTGGCAGGGACAGAAAACAGATGGCAACCACATCTCCTTTTCCTTTCATGTTCRAAGGGGTAAAGAAATGAAGTGAGCAAAGCACTGGGGACTATTCCAGTAAAATCATGCACAGGTGACTTGTGTGCAGGGCACAGTCTCTCCCTTTGCTAAATGACACCAGCTGTGACTACTGCAGTTATAATATGTCTTAATCCTTAAAGYGTGATATAGGAACACGATGCAAGCCTTGCACAAAATAGTCATCTCTTGATTAGGTTGTGTCTTGGATTCAGGAATCACATGGATTTGACACTTATCTTGGGAACTGCCTTAAATWCCAGCTCATCTCAGGTGTGTTTGTCCCAGGTGCTCCTGCTTCTACTTCCGACTTCTCCCTCTGGAAGCTCTGGAACTGAGAACAAACGTTTACCCTTTGTTAACATTGTTCCTGCAACACCAGAAAAAGAGGAGAGATGAAAACCTGCAAAAGCTGTAGCACATGCTTGTATTCCTTTAGAAGCTTTTGTCATTTAGAAGTATTTGTGCAATTACTGCTCTGCTAATGAGGTCCATGTGGGTTTTCTGAACAAATTTTCTAATTATGCATCTCTTGACCGGGATACAGTTAAGTCACTAATAACAGCTAAGTGTCTGGGCAATCAGATACAAATGAAAGAGGGCAAATTCACAAATAAGTGTTTAAGTGAGGTTTGCAGAGCACTGGGRAACCACTGTTGTCTTGGATGAGTCTCCTGCCTTCTGACTACTCCCTAAACCACCACATCTTTGGCTGTGTTGCTCAGAAAATCCAAGTCACACTGTTGGAGGAGTGAATATACTGATTTTGAGCCCACAGTAATTATCTGTTGCTGTTTTTCCTAGTGCCAAGGTCAGGTGTTGAAAGCGACTGTTAACACTGGGTGTCTACCAAACCTCATCTCCAAGAGGTGTTTAAACCAGCTGGGGTAAGTCTTTGCACAGTGTAAAAGTAGGGATGGCTAAAAGCAAACCTGTGGCAAGAACCCAGCCCCAGTGATAATTACTGGCATTTTGCATGTGCACATGGCTTTCTAGGAGAAGATGCTGAGGGTGGGCTACAGGGCAAGGCATGAGAGCACTGGCAAAGTTGTGTGAAGACCCCAGACTCTGAGGCAGAGCTGTGTCATTCTCCCTGTGTGTGCTCCAGGGCAAAGCTGACCGGCTGGTAGCTGGTGGTGAGGCTTTGYTTGTTGAATCTGCCTCCAGACATAACGGATGAAAGAGATTCCTCTTCTTGTGGGCCTGCTCCCAATGAGACCAAGAAGAACTGCCCTCAGTGAGAAGTTCTGGTTTTCTTCCTTTTCCTCTTCTTGAGGCGATAACACCTCTTGTGTCCCACAGGCTGGAAGAAGTGTCTGCCATGGACTGTGGAGACCTCTCTCTTCCCATCCCCAGCGTTGTTGGCCGAGTAGAACATATGGAATTGCAATTTGGTCAGGAGACYGTGCTGTGTTCAGCACTGGTTGTAGGTGAGAGTGCCAGCCCCTCCTCTCCCTTGTTTCTCCTGTGTCCCTCTTGCCCTGCCAAGGGCGTTTAAAGGACCTTTGGGRAAAGCATAACATGGTAGAAGGTTGGTGATATGGTCACCTCCACTGCTAGCCAGCATCACCATACATGGTGAATAACCTCAATGTGACCAAAGGCAAAGGGCATTAGGAAGAGTACAGAGAAGAGAAAAGACATTGAAAATKGGGAGAAATTAGGTCGTTTTTCCGGTCTTAACAAATGATGTGAAAAATTCTCATTTCCATTCTGAAATGGACCTTTCATAAAATTCTACAGATGGCTTAATTAATCCTCTGGTGCCTTATGTTCTCCTATGGAATGGGCACTTGTATCTCTGGCTGGCTGGAAGCCATCAGAGAAAGTAATAGAGGTTACAGTTATTTCCCAGAGTGTTTCTCTGTGTACTCCTCTGCCTCTGCTGCAGGGAGCACCCTGTAAGAACCTGGTAGCCTCAGAGTGCTGAGTCTTCCTCAGTGTCCTGAAGCAGGACTCTTTGAAGGAAGGAGCCATAGGAAACAAGGTTAAGCCAGCAAGCACTGAGGCAGGCCCAGAAAATAGCAGAAAGGCTGCATGTTCTGCATTTACACCAAGCTGTGCCTAAGCTGAAAACAACTTGGTTGTCTTTTTCCCCTCCTGATCTTTCCCTCTACTAGTCTTCCAGCTTTACTGTCTTGCTTTTATCTGTTTCCCCATCTTTGATGAGTCCTATTCATCTTCCAAGGCCACCCTTGCTCCCTCTTTTCATGTACATTCTTCCCACATGCCTAAGTCATCTAGGAAGAGCTTCCTCCTCTTACACACTCCAGCTTCCTCTTCTTTCCTGGTTTCCACTCTGCTTGTTCTTGCCCTTCATGGGGAATCTGTATTAGTACYAGCACAGGTGAATTTATCCCATAGCCACTACCCATTTTGCTGGGATGTGGAAATGGCTGCCTGGAAGGAGCAGAATTGCTRCACCTGTGTCTTACATCTCCCTGTGCATACAGTACATAACCACTTACAAGTAAACTTATGGTTACAAATAAACTATAAATTATAAATTACAGCCACTGATTACAGGGCGAGCAGGCCTCCAGGAGACATGGGAAGTGTTAATGACATTACAAGCAGCTGCTGATGCCTGGGAATTCCTCCTTAGATGCCACAGAAGTCCAGATTGGTGACTTTAAGACCCAGGAGGTCATTCTCACCCAGTCCACTGCATGTTCTTAGTGGCAGGCTTGGAGAGCAGGAAGACTTTGGTCAGACAAGTGAACTGAACACCAGCCTACTTGCATGTGACTGGTCCCCTTATCCCCTCTCCTCTCCATTTTTCCATGCTTGTTCTCCCTATTCATCCTGCTCCTTGCTTTCTCCYGTCTTTGGTCCTTCCCTTACACAGCCCATAGTAAGTTTTATGGGATCTCACAAGCCCCTTCTGATATCTCATATTAAGTTTCAAACTTCACAACCCCCTCATATTTATCTCACAGTAGTCATGACGATTTCTTTCTCTTATCACCCACAAAGTTCATTTTGACCATCTTCAGGACTGTGCCTAAATAGCTTCTTTAAAGGCTCATCAGTGAGTGGCAGAAGAGTGCTGATTTATTATTGTCATCATTACCATCTGCTCGTTAATGTTTTTGTGTTTAACTCATCCTTTTCCTTGTTATTTGTTATCTGTTTTATACTGAGGAGACAATAACCATAAAAATTTATGCATCAGATGTTCTTGTATTTCATATCCTTTTACAGGAGGGACACACTTTCTTTAACGAGGAAGTATTACATAATCTAAAGCCTGATCAGTCTCTTCTCTCTTCTCAGATGATGAAATGCCTGAGTTTTGCATTGGCCTCCAGACTCTGTGGTCTCTCAAGGTAAGGAAGAGCTCCTTGCTTATTGCAGGGCTCCTCTTAGGAAGCCTTCCAAGATCTGGTTCCTTGAGCATCAGAAATACTTAACGTCCAGGTCTCTCAGGGCAATGCTTGTTACACAGCTGCCTGACTGGGTGCAGTATGCTCTGAGTAACTTCTTCCTTTCCAGTCCTTCTTAAAGGTTTTAAGAAGGAAAACACTTGACAGGATACTATCATATCTCCYATTCTCTGTATTCCCTGACCATACAAGTTGCAAATGCCAAGAGGAGACAAGAGGAGGAAGGGAGGCAGCACGTGGGACAGGGAGGGAAACTGTAAGGTCTCTACAAACCCAGAGAGGTGTTACAGATTCTTCCCAGCCATAGACATCATGAGATTTGCTGTCTGAAATGTCCAGCAAATAACTATCTCTCCCCTTCTTCAGTGTTGCATCGACTTGGAGGAAGGAGTCCTGAGATTTAAAACACTGAGTCAAGAGCTGCCTTTTCTACATGCTTCTGAAGAGCCTGGTCAGTGACTGGCTGCATTCCCCATGTCTGGAAACTTGCTGCCACGAGAGAGAGATGAGGGTGAGGCTCACGTGCCCCTAACCTTGCTGAGTTCTAGGCTGAGGCATTCAGTGGGGAGTGAGAAAAAGGCAAGTGGATGTTGGAAGCTGTTGTCACTGGGAGTGCCTCAACTTGAGATATTCCTCCTTTCAGTGGACCCTTCTGCTTGTCCTGATGTGCCAAGTGGGCATTTTGTTCTTGTTTTGCTATTTGGCCCTGGTCACTCCAATTTCTGCTTCTGTAATAAATTTATGTTACCCCTTTAATGACTTTACAATACACTCCGTTCACAAGACAAGGGAGTCTCTGTGAACAATCTCCAGTTTTCTGTGGACAGTGTTTTCTCCAGGGACCTCCAAAGATTGCCATGAATGTTTCCCTTCTTTTTGCCTCAATGCCAGTGTACACCACTCCCGTTCCTCTGTTGGAAGGGCTCTGTTCCCCTTGCCTGCAATCTGGGAAGCTGGATTTTGTTACTTTTGATAGTTCAGAGCAGAACAGAAGTATTTTCTTGAGAAAACCTTGCAGCAAGAACAGTTTCAGAGTTCTCAATTCTAAGAAACTTTTGCAGAAATGTTGAGTGTAGATGCCTAAAGCACTGACAGGGGCTTGGGCTTTGCCACTGCATTCCTGGGCACTAAGCTATATTATATGAATGACAATGCTWACATCTCTTGGTGTTATATCCTGTRACCAGATTTGCACACCCTGTTCTTCTGGCCTCTCTGCACTCCGGCTGCTAGAGCTGTATCCCTGTTCTCTCAGCTGCTTCATCGGGGATCCTGCCACTCAGTTTTAATGCCACAATGAATTACCGCACGAAGTCTTCTGCTCTGTCAGCTCCTTTCTTTCAACTTGAAATCCAGTGACTAAACACRGATCCATCATCAGCCTCAAGTCCTGGCATCACACAGCCCATCAACTTTGTTTCTCTTGCACAAAATGAGAACTTGTAGTATCAGCTCAGGTTAGAGAACTGTGAACTCATTTGGAATGTTAAAGGTGATTATTAAGTCACTTAACAATTAGTTGGTTTTTTTTTTAATTTTTTTTTTAGATTTCCATCCTAAAGCATGGCTGTATTAAAAATACAGTCTATTCTTAACTAGCTCTAGGAAAGATGCAGTAGATCAGGGCTTGTTCCACGCCTCATGAYTACTAGGTCACTATCCAAACTGCACAGCGTACCTTTGTCCACCCTCAAAATGTCATGACAACCCCATTTTGACTATTTTCCTGGATTAAACACCACTGACTCTCTTCCTTTTATATCAAACTGCTCATTGACTCTGTCATGCTTCTCAAAAATTGTATGTATGCATTTTTGCTTTTTTTTCCTGTCAGTTCTTTCCTCTACAGCTGTACGCTGTAGTTAACACATGTTAAGGACAGCAGAGCACAGCCTGGCTGATATGATTCAATATTCACTTGCCAGTGATACTTGGTGTGACTGCCATCTGCTCCTCCTACAAGGAGCATCAGAATTTTAGTGTTAGTCATCATACCTTGCAGCTTCTGATCTGTTCCTTGACTTCTTTGCCACTCTTCTTCTTATGCATCTGACTGTTTCTGGCTGCATGAACTGCTTTCCATGAATCTCTTGACTGACACCAACCGTTCTCTCATTTAGTCAGGGAACATGCCTACTCAATGAGCCTGTCTTCCAAAGTTCCAGTGACTCCTCCTGGATTTGTACCACTTGCATGACTGACTGGCTTCTCAAACCCAGGGGTCTAGACAGTTCACACTTGTACTAAACCTTGAGTTCTAGCTGGAATCTGTGTGGTACTTGGGCCAATTCTGCTGACAAAATCTTGTTTGTGATAGATGAAACACCTGTTTTTATGTGCATCAACTCAGCCAATTTCTAACTCTCCTTGCCCTCTAAAAACAGCATGTAGAACAAGGGCATTATCTATAAATGCCCATACAACATCCATTACAAATCTTATTACTCATTAACTTTTATGATCTATTAAAAAATACCTCTAAACCATAACCCTARATCTCACTTTAGCCCTTACCCAAACAGTAAACCCTAACAATAACCCTAAATCTAAGCCATAAGGTACTAAATCCTAATCCTAAATTTAACCTTTAAAACAAACTCTATAACTTAATGCTAACCCTAACCCCCAAGACAAACCACCACCCCTAACCATAAAACTTAACACTAAACATAAACCCCTAAATTTAACCCCGTAATCCCAACACTAACCATCTAACTCTAAACCCAAAGCATAATCCTAATCCTAAAGACACTAACTGTAAACCCTAATCCCAAAGACTAACCATAACTCCTAACCCTAAACTCTGACCATTAACCCTAAACCCTAGCCCCTAAAGCTAACCCCTAACTGTAAACCCCACACCAYACAACAAAATTTACCCCCACCCCAACTCTAAACATATCCCGAACCCCAATCACCTAACCGTATCTGATGGCTTTTGTGGTGCCAAGGAGCCCTGCTTCCCTCCAGAGTGCCCTGGGGCTTCTGCTGARTTTTGTTTTACCCTGCAAGGGACCCTGCTGCCTTCCAGAGTGTCCCGGGGCTTTTGTCGGGCTTTGCGAGGCCCATACAGGGCTCTGCTTCCCTCTGGAGCACCACAGGGCTTTAGCTGGGCTTTGCTGATGCCCGGGCAGGTCTCTGCTGCCTTCCAGAGTCTGACAGCTTTTTTCTGGGCTTTGCTGATGCCTACAAGTGGTGCCATGGGAAGGGGAGGACCATCAACAGCTTTCAGTCACGGCCACTTCCTTGTGAGAGCAGCGCCTGGTGTCTGTGTTGTAGCTGGGCTCTGGCTAGGGCAAGGGTGTAAATGAGTAGGAAACCAGACTGAAGCCAGCAGGAATACTTCCCATGATTTGAAGTGTTGGATGGGATCTTACAGAAAACTGCCATGACTTTGAGTTGACAATTCTACTTTGACAACTGCCTGTCACTTGCAGCCCTGCAGATACCTGCACACTAGCTGCTGCTGGAATTCACCAGGGGCTGCTCCTACATGTCTGTCTTGGAATAACTCTGCTTTTGCTCCAGTCCTTCTGAAGCCTGTGATTCACATGCCTCATATCCTAAATCATCAACGGTTCAGGTTCCTCTGTGTATTAATGTGCTACAGTAGGTGAAAATCTCCAGCCCTACCTTTTCCTCTCTACTTAATGAATCCTTCTTTGTGTCCTCCTTTCCTTCTCCTCAGGCTGAATAAGTGACAAATTTCCTTCAAAAAGGAATCCTTTCCTGTTTAGATAATCCTTTTAACACTTGCATGTACCCTGGCTCCTAATACACTTGCACATTGTGCCACAATCTTGCCAGCCTTTCCTCCTTGTTGTAAACGACTGCATGTATAAATTCTCAGTCAYAGAGAGGATGTTTCCAAGAAAGCACTGAATTAGTGTGTGTGAGTTCTTTTCTCAGCTCTGAAATCAGCTCCACGGCAGAAGACATGCTCTTCACCTTCCTCCTGTCCCTGTCAGTTAAGCAMACAAATCCATGCAGTAAAGGTCTCTTTCACCCTAGGAAACCCACAGACACTAAGGAATCTGTTGCCAACAGTTAYCCTGGAACTTCCCTTGCTGCAGGCAGAGCCCGCAGAAAAAAAGAAACAAAAAACAAAAAACCAACATTTATAAGACTAAATGAGAACTGCAGGTCATGATGCCATGGCAGACAACTCACTTCCACCCATTCACTAAATCAGTCTAATCCTACAGGGTCAGTACCAACTTTCCTCATCAACAGAACTCCTGGTGGGCTTTCATCTCTTTAAGTTCTTTGGCATTAAATAACATGCATTTACTGCACTTAACACTGACATTTTGAATTTTAACCTGAAGATACTTTTCTTTCTCCAAAGCATTTTTGTGTCATTACCTCTGAATCACAGACTCCACTGTGAAAGACAGAAGTCTTGGCTATAAAACAAGTGATTTTAAAATAGGACTTACAACATCTCAAAGAAGTCAACTCAACCCCATCTACAAACATGGTAATTTTTAAAAGTCTTCCAGCACTGGGGAGGCCCAGTAATTTTTGAGTAGGCTGACAAGGCTGAAGACTGTCTTAACAGTAGTTTCTCTTGGAAAAGCCTATTATACCAATATACTTCCCTACTCCCAGTTCCAGTCCTCTCTATTGTTTTTGGGGGATAAAGGGAACAAAAGAATAATCTGAAGGYCTTTTTCACTGAAGATCAAAAAATGCTAACACTTTCATATAAAAAMCAGAAGTTCAGTACAAACTGCCAGCTCAGAGCAGGACTTAGCACATCCTATATATGTCCAACACTGGATTCCTCATGATGAAGCCTGTCCTTTCAGWATAAACAATGCAATGTTATTATTTTAGGGATAATCTCTGAACCTTGGTGGTCAGTTCCGATCAGGGCTACTTCCTAATAGAGGGCAAAGCAGTTGTGGAAAAGTCTGCAGGAAAATATCTGCCGCTGCCTGGAACAGTGTGCAATACAACCAGGGGTGGGGAGAAGGACTTCTGTGACCCCCTCTGAGGCCTCTGTGCAAGAGGTAAACCCATCCTGAGAACATGCTYTCTGCCAAAGCCACATTCAGGACCACTCCCAGGAGCTTGGGATCACTTGGTTTTGAACAGAATGAAAGCTGCAGCATTCCACATTCCCAGAGGCCGGCTCCTTCTTTCATTACCAGCAGGTGAGATATGGAATTGAGGACCACTGAGACACATACATATGTTTGCATTCAATCCTCCTTCCAAGGGACTCCAGTGGCCAGGATACACCTGAAGAGTTACAGAACTAATAAATTCAGGAGAAAGACCACAAAAATGAGGGCAGGGATGAAAAGCAGGTTTATTATATCTCAGGAAAATAAGGCAACCCTCTTCCTTTATTTTTTTTTGCTAGTAAACTGAGCATCAGAACCAAAGCCATGAATCATGTATCTGCAAAGACCCCCAGTGCCTGAGAATACCGTCAGACTCCTCACTTGCTGTGTACTGGCACTGGGACATAAAAAGGTGTCCTGCAAATCCTGCCCTGTTGAAAAGCTTCCCAGAACCAGCAGATGATGCCAGTYTGCTAGAGTAGGATACAGCAAACAACATTTTCTGCTGTATGGGAAGGAAGCACTTCTAATTCCAACTCTGCAGCTTGTGTCAGCTGGCAAGGACAAACAGACAATTAGTTACAAAGAAAGTATAATGTAACTCCATCAGTCCAGAGACACAGCCTTAAGTGGCTCCTTTCTTGAGAATATGGACACTTTACAGAAAGATTGTTGCAGCCTGAAGCACTGACTTCCAGAAGCATTTGGTACTCAGAAGTTCAAGGCAGGAAAAAATTAGGAAAGCCATCTTTTGGCCAAGGAACAGTACAGATGTCCAATTAATTCTTCTGTAGACACTTTTCATCTTCCCTTGTGCATAAGGGGCACAGAAGCAAAATGCATCTGCAAATTATTATGTGCTGCATGCAATATAAAACTGTCAGGGGAAGCCCTCAAATGTTAGTATTTTTCCTTTCCAATGGTTTTTAAGAGCTGAAAAGTTTTGGGGAACAGATGTTTTATAGTGTCTGTATTTTCTCACCTCTGCTTGTCATCGTGTGCATTGCCTGGGCTTGCATAGCACACAGCAATATTATCCTCAGGCCAGCAAAAGAGGGTTAGGGTGCACAAATGGCCCTGCTCAACATYTGCAATGCTTTTGCTCCATTTTCTTTCAAAGATGGTTCTCAGAAAAATGTCATTTCTCCCTCAGTTACCCTTTCCCATTCTTTCTCAACAAGTAATAGTCCAACAGTGGATCAGTTTGACTTTCCTTTCTTGGAAATCATTCAACTTGTACAGCAAAGTTTGTTTTGCATAGAACAGTTCCAACCACATGCACTCCTTTGTACACCCCTTGTGCTTGTGTTGCTAATAAAGGTTTATATTTGGTGTTGCTAATAAAGGTTTATATTTGGCATGGACAGACAGCACTGAGTTGTTCTGTGTTGCGAGTGTAGGCCATCCTGTTTCCCTGCTGGGCCCTACTTGCCAGAAGCAGTGGTGATTCCTGTTGGGATGGGGGGCTGYACATCTCAGCGTCATGAGAGCTGACAATTTGTTGAGGTTACAGTCTAGGTATGACAAGCTTCAAGATAACTCCTTGCTTTAGTAGATGGTCCCTGTGGGATCAGCTCTCCACTGCTCACACACTCCAGCCTCGCTGCTCTYCACACCACTGTTAAGCTCTGACTTGAAAGCTCCTGCCTGAAGGGTCCAGCTTTACACAAGCACTTAGTATGACAGAGGAACATTTAAAAATGCTTCTCAGCAAGATCATTAAAAGAGAGGGAAACTTCCACTGCAGTTGGAGAGTCAGAAGATACAGTGGCCTGAGAAACAAGCTAGCAGGTACGGAGCAGGTCAGACCGTTTCACTGCTCCACGCTTCAACTTTCACTGCTACCAAATACAGAGGACAGCACTGTCCTCTGAAAAGCTTATATAAATCTACAGATGGAAACTGTAAAGAACAGCTAACACTTATCATGTGAAGATCCTGYACTTCTATCACATCATCTTCGACAACAGTCACTTTGACCCAAGGGCAAGACACTCCTTTTCTCTATACAAACTCTTTTCTCCCAGTTAGGGCTGCCCTTGGATATTTTGCAGAGTAAAGCACAGCAGGTTTTCAGCCTCCCACAGGATCTTTAAATGCTGCCACTTGCTCCAGATCATTGAATTGAATTTGCTGTGACTCGGGCTGCTGTAAGGGTGAAGGGACAGCTCCATCCATTAAAAATGTCCAATAAAACATCACACAAGCAAGGGTATAATCGATACAAACCAGCAGGTAAGCCTGCTGCCCCTTTCCTAATAAGCTGAGTTAGGCAAGGGACAAGCTAATACAGGGAAAAGCACAGTAACAACAGCATGAGGAAAGGTTCATGCCTGGGCTTTTGCAAATGAGCTGCCCTTTCCCAGACTGCTCATGCCTGACAGTAGAACATCCCCTCCAGCCTGCCTCTTTCAGTTGTGCAGAACTCAAAGTATGACATTCTCCACAACAAATGGCAAGAGTGGCATTTCCACTGCTTACTGTGAGATGGCCAAGCTCTCATAGCACCACAGATSTACAGTTAAGTCAGACTGCTCTTCCTGACCACTTCACAACTGCTTTGTGAAGTCACAGCCTTCTCTGGGATCACACTGACCAAGAAGATGGAGACAYGCAACGACTCTTGACTAAAACTGGATCTGCTGGAGGCACTATCTCTCTATACCTTCTTAGTGCAAGTTGTGCATGGSTCCAGCTCCTCAGAACAGGATGTGATTTGTGAGAAACTGCTTGGTAGAAGAGTAACAGTGAAGCAACCAATGCATGGCGCTACTTTAAAAACACACAGAAGTGGAAGAGAAGGTCTGTGTCTGCTCCCTAACACAATTCCTCCACCTGCAATCCTTGCATTGTGATCCTGCTAAGAAGTCAGAAGTACTCACTAGAGCAGTTTTAAGAACAGGCCAAAACAGAGATGGAGCTCAGCTGCTCTCTCCATCTGTGACCTCAGTACTCCTTCAGTGCCCAATGGAGCACTTTAGCTAGTGAGGAATATGGAAACTGGTAACAGAAGGCCTATGTGCAGGATCCTTGGCCCTTTCTGTTCTGGTAGCTCCCTCAGCTAAAGGCAAACCAACAYACCACATTCAGTCAAGCCTACAGCCAAGAACATCCCTTCACCRCCTGTAGACCCTTTCCTGTTTGGACGTTTTGACAACACGGGGAAAGAACAGTCATCTTCATCAGATGCCCACTTCCAGCTGCAGAAGAGCTTGTGCTGGTATCAAAGATGYCAACCTTTAAGTGAATTCTTATAGAGGATCCTGGTTGCCAGTGCAGTGGGCAGAGGAATCTGTTCCATCAGGATCCTGCGAGGGGCTGCTGAGATGGTATTTCTCAGGATAGTAGAGTGTTTTGTGAATCAGATTTTTGACAGCAGAAACGTCRCTTCTGTCTAAAGAAAAGAGAGAAAAACAGTTTTTAGGCATTCTCATCAGGCAGTGTGAAAACCTCTTCMTGAAGAAATACCTGGAACTCTAGTTCCCAACACATCATCTGCCAGCAGCCCTTCCTCTCTTTTCTTCGGTACATCCTCCGCTCTTTCTGCACTCACCTATATCCAGCTGCTCCAGGAGACTTTCAAACTCTGGATCACCATCCAGGATTTTCAACAGGTTGGTGGACTCCATTCTCTCCAGCTGCACATCCCAGTAGATGTAGATCTTCTGGCTGAAGCTGACATAAACAAGACAGGGACTGTTGCTTCCTTCTTTGCATGCATAGAGGCCTGCAGAAAGCAGAAGTGTGGAAATCTGACTACTTCCAAAAGGATAGAGAAGGCAAATAATTGGCATTTCATGATGARGTACCAAAGCTGTTAACAGAAAACAGCAAGCACCTGGGCAGAGACATGGACTTGGTATACAAAGTCCCTTTGAGACAATCCAAGAAGCTGTCTCTGAACTGCATGAAGCTTGGGGATTTGCAAACTGCYTCTTGCAGGTCTGAGAGAAGGAACTGAGCAGAGCGAAAGCTCAGGCAGCCTCCATGGGCTCCTTATCTCCACATGAGAACAGCTTAGAAATCCACACACTAAAAAAGCAGTGGGGAAGACAAGAGACCACTGAAGAACTTCTGAAAAGGACAAGAAAAAAAGAAACAAAACACCCAGAAGACAAACTTCAGCATCATCTCTTTTCACTCTTATTTTTCTCAGATGTCACCAGAGGAAAAACTATCTGGGCCTYCTGCAGCATGCACACAGGGAAATTACTCCCCACTGCAGATTGATAAAGAATTCTGGGTCTCCCAGATGGGAGGAGCAGCCTTGAGGGGAAAAGTGCTGTGAGGGCTGGCTTTGCAGTCAGGCTTCCCACCTGCACAGAAGGCACTGACATTCTCRTCTGCTTGGAATCTGGCCACAGTGCGATTGTGGTCGATGATGTAYGTCTGACCGTCCCACGCACAGGCAATCACCTCCTCATGCCCATTGCCCTGTAGGAACCAGAAGATTGCATATTACACAGACATCACCTACTCCCAGGAACAGTCAAGAATCTTTCTTGCTGGTTCAGAGACAGGACGTTAATGCCTAGATGTCATCTCTGGACATCTCATCCAGATATTTTGTACTTGGAGCTCATCTCTCTTCTTCATGGTAATCCTTACATACTGTAAGAGCTTGTACACAATCAGGGTATTAGCAGTGAGCAAAACAATTCAGCTTTGCAATAAAACTGAGGARCAGCTGGAGGACAAATGTATAAATGGGTGCTGGACTCATTAGGTCTAACAGGCAGACATAGCCCAACCTCTTGCAGGTGGGCAGACTGACCTGAGTGCAGAATGTACTGCCACAGTCAGAACACTCTGTGCCATCCTGAGATAATCCCAGACTTTTCGAGCTGAGTCATACTCCCTCTGCCCTTCCKAAGTTCATATACATAAAGCCATGCTGAGCTTTTGTCTTCACCTCTCCCAGCCTTATTCAAATACTCACTGTAACATCCAGCTTTTCCAGAGCAAAGAGCTGGTGATCAACCTGAACAGACCAGAGCAGCTTGTCTGCTCCTTCCACGAGTTTCAGTGTCCCTGAAGAAAGAAAAAAGCAACTGTCTTGAAAACAATAAAAGGGAGCAAGATGTTTGTTAATGCTAGGCCCTGCTCCTTCAACACTTAGGGTTGCTGAGAGTTGGCTGCTAATAGCACAGGTGTGGTCTTGGCTGCTAAATCCGTACTGGACACTGGACCCCACCTACCATGTTCCTATTATCCAGATATACCGTGGCACTACTGGGCAGGAGGCACTGGCCATGAGAAAGGAACATTAACATGCATCTAAYCTCACAGTGCCCTCCATGCCTTCCTATAAAACATGTCAGTAGAAGGAGCCTTTGAGTCAAATTCTAGTGCCTGACCCATGGAGGTTTCTAAAGACCAGCTTCCCTTACTTTTAAAAATTGAAAGTATTGAGGCCCTGATTCTCTGCTTTGAATTAGTGACAGATCTTGGCTGCCCCACAGGTCTTCTTCCAGGACAGTGGCAGGACTTACCGTCCAGAGTACAGAGGGCAAAGAGACCTGAGCCGCTATTGTCACTGGAGCCTGTAAATGCAAAAGAAAATTACTGGAGTAGACATCATTTTATAAACATCGTCCCTTCYCTCTCCTGAAAACAATAAAAAATATCCAAAATAAGCTGATCCATCCTGCCTCCTTTTCTTTCCCAGTTGCGTGCAGGACAGAACTGACAAATGTCACTAGTTAAATCTGAACAGGAGAGTCCCCTGACCACCAAGATCCTTCAGCCCTTCAGTAAACTTTCTATCCAGCTACCAAAAAAGAAAAAATATGCAAGGTCAAGTTTTAAAAATATGACACTTGGAGAGAGAGGACAGGAGCTGTATTCAACTTAAGCTCCATTTAATCATGTCAATGACAATGTAGGAGGGATACTGGCTCCCTGAGGAGGAACCCAGGAAACCTAGCAGTCAGGAGCAAGCCAGCAGAGCTGGGAGCAAGCAGGCAGTTTCCCCAGAGTAAACAAACAATGTGAGCCTACCTCCACTGCYCACAGACAGCTCCAAGCTACAACCCCATGCACACTCATGGRTTGCAAACCACCCCATTTCTGCAGMTGAKCCTAAAGCAAAGGCAGCTGCTTGAGTGCTTAACTGCCCCTAGTGACCCAGACAGGCTCTGATCCAAGAGGTCTGCTGTGTCCCCCTTGGAAACTGGTCAGCATGACACTCTTCAGCAGTTTCTTTACTGATGGTCCAGCATCCATGGGGCTTTTTAACAACCTTCTCTCCRTCCCTTATTCTGTGTGCCTTCATTTTTCAGACATCTCTCAATAGATGCCAGGCTTCATACACAGTGAAATAACTGATTTCATGCTCTGTTGACCATGTTGCTCAAAGCAGCATCAGAGATGCTGAAAAYACGACAAGCTTAGGAACTGGGCAGGAAAGGTCCTCTGAGGAAGGGGAAGAGGATGGGGTTCAGTGGATTGCTTTTCTCCACAAGCTCTAATTACATTGGACAGGCTGAATCATTCTCAGGCAGCACTGCAGGCAGCAATACTTGGGCACAGCAAATAGAAGAGAAAGTGATCGCCCCTGGGAGTTTTGTGCCTTCTATTAAGCCCACATGCCCCAAGGAAGAGTGGAAGTTGCTAACTCTCCACAGATACCAAAGGAGGGCTCAGCAGGTGCACCAGGCACAGCTCCAAGCACAAGGAGTTACACAAGGGAAGCGTGTAAGAAATGTCTGGACACAAGCAGTGTGTCAGGGCTGAGAGAAACTGGCAGCCGTGCAGAGTTTAAATACAAGAGCTGAAAACAACACAGGGGAAGAAGACAGAGGACAGTGATACAGATGAAATATGGAAGCAGCTCTGGAGAGGCTCAGGCTGCATACGAGGAGGAGGAGAAGCACATAGACACCAGAAACTGAGATTCAAATGCTAAAAAGCAGGAACAAAGATGAGGCTGTGGGAAGGAAGAGATGCATCTAGGGAGTAAGAAGATGGCATAAGCTGCAGCCTGCAGAAASAAGGATCAAGGACATCTGTAGGAGCATGGCATGGCAGCCATTCAAACTGACAAAATGCAGGTCAGCAGAGGCTGCAGAGAAATACTTGTGCTGGGTGAAGGATAAGGGCTACCCAGGGAAGGACAAAGGCTATAAAAAGCTCACATGCAAATATCCAACTGTCTTTCTTTGGGAGCCAGCTAAGAGAAGTTGAGATCCCTCTGTTCTTGCAGCTGCCTCTCACTGTTACTTTTCTAACACAGGAAATCGAATTTTATCCTGGACTGCCACACTGAAAARCCATCAGAGGCAACTGCTGTGCTGGAGACCCCAAGCTGCTGATCTCTCACCTCGGGCAATGCTACCAATCAGATGAGTGGAGACATTCTTGTTGTGAATCCGTCCAGATGTTTGGTGTAGAATCACATCTCGAACAGGGCCCTCACTAGGGAAAAGAGAAAGACAACAGGGAAATGTTAAGGAACCATGCCAGAGACTGTCTCAGTGCAATCTCAGGAGCAGTGTATTCCAAAGATCTATAAATCCAGAGATTGACAGAGTGTGTGAACAGGTTTAGCCTCTTATTGGTAAAGGGAAAAAATGCACACCCCTCCAGGTATTAAAGAAACTTACCCATGTTTAAAAAAACAAACCCAGAATTATTTGATGCATTAAAAAAATAATAAAAAAAAAAGCTGAAAAAGCAAGGCCTGTATTCCACTGAAGGGGAAAAAAGACAATTTTTATCATTGCTGTAACATAAGCCTGGCTGCTTTTCTCTCACAAAATATCTGTTCAGGGTTGAACAGGTTGTTGAGAGACCACATCTGGGCCTGGCTTCTGGCTAGGAGGGTACCATTCCACTGAGGCTCCTAACACATCAAGAAGACTTCCCTAGGTCCCCTCCTGCTGCTGCTTTTTGCACCTGCCTTGAAGTGTCACAAACTCCACAGAAGCACCTAAATTCCTCACCAGGGTCCTTCCAGCACCAAGACAGTAACAAACATCTCACTGCTCATCCTGATTGCTCTGGTTGTGATTTACAGTACTGGCTTCCAGGGGTCTCATTAGGAAAACCTCTAATTGCCTCACCCACAGAAAACAAGTGAATAAGCCCAATTTTATCCTGGCCTTCAGATTAATTTGTTTTGGCCCAGTCTCCCAGCTCTCACCCTGCAATCTCATGACCTTTCTCCAGAAATCTAGGTCACTCATTTCCCTACCTCAGCCCCCAGTAACAGCCCCCTCAGGGGGCTGGTTTTGCCACTCTCCTTGCCCAATTCAAGACAAGAAGGGGATACAATGAAAGCAGGAGCATTCATCTTCATGACAGAGGCATGAAGTGTTCATGCAAGCCTGGGTGCAGGTGGGCTTAAGTGATGAGCTGCCAGCACTACAGCAGGTCACTGAAGCAAGGACAGTGACAGTACCTCCCGCCTCACAACAGTGGTGTGGTGGCACCCCCTTGTAATGGGCCTCCACAGAGGCATCTGCACATGTATCCCAGCAGGAACACCCCTCACCTGCTTGGGGCAGATCCGTCCCTTCCCGTGGCTGCATCCCGCTGCTCCGTGTCCCAGGTGCACAGCAGGATGGCATAGCCACAGCCTGGCTGTGACACCATCAGCTCTGGTGAGCCATCAGGGCCTGGGTTCACAGAGAGGCTGTCCACCTACAGGGGCAGAGGAGAAAACATGGATAGAGTCGAGAACTCCAAAAAGTTTACATTGCTCCTTGGAACTAAATTTGAATAKGGCAAATCTTCTGATTGAGCTGAGCAGGAGCTGAACAAACTCAGCTGGAAGCAAAATGTCTGAGTTCAGTAAAAGGCTCGTTCCCAACCCAAAGCCACTTTAAAACAACACTAGTGTTTTCCACTAGTGCTCTCCCATCAGGCAAAGGCAACTATTTCCCAGATCTACCAGCTGGTAGCAGCTCTGCATGTACAGAAAAACCACTGGGCAAAGCTCTTTTCAAGCCATCAACATGACAATTGTTTTGTTCATAGACTGAAATTTCATGCTTCTTCTCTTGGGAAAACCACCTCTGACAAGTACTGCTCTGAACATCCTATTTCCTTACCTGACCTTCTAGAAGCCATTTCTTCAACAGTAGCAACTGCCCAGAGACATGATCTGAATTCTCTGATGAGTCCTCCCAGCGGAAGGCACGGACCACCCTGTCAGTGTAACCCACCACCAACTCACACTTCCCGTCTCCATCTGCAGGGAAGAGAGAAAGACAGATGGACTCTCTCAAGTCCTAACAGCCCCAAAATGCAGAAACCACTGTGATMATTTCTATAGTTAGAAGTTATGTAATGAAAACTTGCACTTCAAAAAAATTCCTGAAGCTCTTGTTTCTCTCATCCATGACTTGGCTGTGGTTTGTTGGGAGTGTCTGTTTCAGCAAGACAGCAATTTCCTTCTGCAAGTCCCCTCATGTCAMACRCAAWCTCCYTAYCCCACACTCCCACACCAGCTTTGARGCTCACCAATGTCATTGATGAGCATGACCTTGGTGTTGGCAGGAATGTGCTGCTTGAACACTGGCTTCTGCTCTTCTGTCCCTGCCAACTCATGGTGGCCTGAAGCATCTGGGTGTTTTGAATTTGGAGAAGTCATGTCAAAAAGGTGAAACCAGCCTTCCGCACTCACCGCCACCACGAAATTCTGTGAGGGAAGAGAAAAACCTTTTGAATCTTCCCCTTTTAAAAAGTGCAGAAGCTGTCCCACAGCAGGGCAAATGAAGACACAAGGACAGATTGATCAAGATCAATGTCTGCTGGAGAGGGAACAGGAGGCTTTTGGCCAGCACACAAACTACTCTGCTATTGGCAGGGTCCAAACTTCTTGTTCATCTTTGTCAGCCCACGATATCAAGCTGGTATGTGTGCAATCCTCAAACAGTGCGTGGCTTTCTCAACGCCCACGTTGGCTCTGCTCCCTACTGGAGGAAACACAGCTACAGTATTTCGGGCAGGGTGCCTAAACTGGGACCTTTGGACTCGTTGTTCCTGGCTTAAACACCAGAAACRACAATACAACAAAAGGAGTCATATTAGACCCAGTGGAATTTGCTTGGGAGTCCAGACTATTCTGTGTCTCAGTCTTGTTTAGATGACCTTAAATGCACRTAGCCCAGTGGCAAAAAGACCACGGCCCACAGCAGGCATCAGCCCAAGCAGAGCAAAAGCCACTGAGCAAAAGGAGCAACCCTCAAACCACCCAAGCCTTGTGCTGTTCCCACAAGGACAAACAGAACTCAAATGCGCTTTTTAAAGACAGGATGGATTTCCTTGCTCTCTAAAACACACATGAGGCTCACAGAAAGATACCAGTTGTTTACAAACAGAAGAACAACCTAAAAACAGTGGTACTAAAACTCAGTGAGCAAAGGCAGACGCTGGAGAGAAAGAACCTGCAATGTGTCCTCCTCCACACTCAGCACATGACATGACCCTCATCTCCTAAACACCTCCCACATGCCCTACAGACACAGCTGGGAAGAGTTTGGCTCCTCTCACCTTTCCTTTATTGCACACATCTCCCACACCGACACAYGTGAGCTGCAAAAGAAAAGAAAGCCACACATGAGAGAAGACAACCCAACCCAGTGATAAACTTCTGTCCTACCCCTTCTTCTCCCATAAAGCATCTCTTGAACTCCAAACAGCCTTTTGAAGGACAAGGAGTGCAGAGTCAAGGGACAGAAGTCCAGTTTCTACGTTTGTTCGTTAATTTGCTCATCAATTCCAGCCCATGGGGTTGCGGGCAAAAGCCCTTGAAAAATTRCATGAAAAACAACAGAATCAGTTCTGGCTGCCATTCCCCTGTAGCCTACATATTCCTAAGCAAAAGGAAAGGATAGCTGGCTGCACATACACCAAAAAGCCCCACCATTGGGAAATTTTGTCAAGAACTGACCATTCCTTGGCAAGATCGCACAGCCCAGGGCTTGCTGTCATCATTCTTGTAAACATAGAGCTTTCCATTGGTGTCTCCCACCACGAGTTCATTCAGCTGCACAAGAAAACTGGGTTAGTAGGAAGAAATACATAATTACATTAACAGTATTCCTTCAACAGCAATAATTTCARAATTCACATCTTAAAATCACTCTGTGGGAAGAAAATTGAAGAGTTGAAGAGACAATCCTGAATCAAAATGGAAGGCCTGGGAAAATATAAAAGCCCTAACTCTGTTCTTGCAGATAAAAGAGATGGAGAATGGCTCCTCAGAGCAACATCCTGATACCCACTGCTTCTCCACCCACTGCTTCAGAGCTGTGACCGACTGTTTTAACATCCTGCTCAGCTTATCATCATCACTCCATCTTCCATCCTTCAATCAGATTCCTTGAATCACCTAAGGAAGATTATGGCAATGACACAAACATAACCATCCAGGAACAGGAAGAGAGGGCAAGAACACTTATAATAGATTTATACGGGATGTTCAATCTCACTGCTGAAGGAGTAAAAATGTATTCAGAATGGTGATTATTTCTTTAGAGAAGATTGCCAAACATCACCAACCACCCCTGCTAATGAGTCTATTCCCACTATCCCATCTCCTGCATCACACCTCTGTGTATTTGTGTGCATTTTGTAACTCCCTGCACAYCTCACACACACCTGCACACCTACATAATATAACTTTTTATGGGGAAAACCCTTTAATTGTCTACTGCATTGCTAGCCATAACACTTTTCAGGACAAGGCTGTAAAAAATTCATTGAAGAGAAGAAACAGTTCACATATAGCTGGTTAAGTTAACCTTTTCTTAGTTACTGACAAATCAGAACCAATCATTGTGGGCATGATAGCAACACTCCCAATGCACAACCATCCATCCCATGGACCAAGAAACACCGAGAGCTGGCTCTACCCTGTTTGTGATCCGCTGTGCTCAGCAAAGCACCCCTACTTTGCCATCTCTGTGAGAGGTAAATGTTTGTCTCCCTTTGGGAGCAGAAGTGGCTCTGCAGCACCCAGGTCCACATCAAGGGTGACATGACAGGTAGGTGCAATGGCGAGGGAAGCCCTGAGCAGCTGCAGCCCAGGAAACATTCCCTTTGCAGGGGACCTCCGGGAGGGGATCTGACCAGAGCTCCGCGTCCCTAACACCTCTCGAGCGCCCGCCAAAGCCCGTGTGTGTCCCCAGGGGTGGAAGCCGTTCCAGCTCCTCCTGGCACCTGCTCTGGGGCCGCACCGGCCGCGTTCGGGCCCCGTCTCCGAGGCGGCCCTGCGGGCACTCCCAGCCGGGCCCGCTGCCCCGCGGCTGCCCTGCCCGCCCCGGCCCGAGCTCCGGGCTCGCACCGTGTCGTTGTCGGCGTCCCCCAGGCAGATGGCGTGCGGGAAGAGGCTGCCGGCGAAATCCAGCGCCACGCACTGCACATAACTGACGGAGCGCATCCCGCGGCCCGGGGAGCAGC